TATTGATTTTTGATTTTTAATATTATTTTGAGAGTAGAAGATCTCTACTATAAATAAGCTATACTTTTTATTTTATTTATTTTTGAAAGTAGAAGACTTTTACTATAAATAAGCTAGATTTTTTGTTTTGTTTAGTTATTTAGTTTATATATCCTTCTTTAATTAATAGTTTTATTATTTAATTATTTCAAATCTTGAATTATATTGATTATTAGTGACTTTATTAAGCTGATCTTTATAATTTCTTTAATTTATTTATTTATTTATTTTATTCTTTTTAAGACAATATCTGTAAATATTGATACAGATCTTAGAAATCTTTGTTAATATTGAAAGTTATAATCTAATTCTTCTCTCTTTACTCTTTAAATATTTTAGTCTTTCTCAACTCTATATTATTAAAATAAATTCAAGTAAAAATTTACTTATTAATTCACTATAATAATAGTATTTAATATGATGTAATCAATATCAAAATACTTGAAAAACATAAAAATATATATAAGAGTCATATTGATTTCAGCTAACAAATCTTTAATATATTCTGTTTTACACTTGAATTATTTATTAAAAAAACTATCAAACTGATATTAGAATTATAATCAAAGAAAATATATTATGAAAGAAGAGTTTTTAGTATATTTATTCTCTTCTCAAAAGTAATTTCTAATTTATCAGATATTTTAAAGATTGAGAGATAGTATATTTGCTATATAACTTATATAAAATAAAGTAATTAATATATTTAGTAACTTGAAAAAATTGATATATTTATATAATAAAACTCTTCCACTTGCCAAATTTTTTCATAAACTTAACATATTAAATTTGTTATTATATAAAGAATAATCAAATTCAAAGTTATTATAAGTATTAATTTTATTTGTAAGTCTTTAAAATATTAATATATTATTCTTTTTTCCAAATTATTTATTATAATATTATTTAAATAAGTTTGAAATATAATTATAATCAGAATTATATATATAATCAGTCAAAAATTATATAAGTTTATAATTAATATTTATACTTAAATATAAATTATCTTTGTAAGTATATATAGCTAATACTGATAAGTATTTATTATAAAATAGTTATATATATTTATCATAAATATCATCTTTAACTTATCAAAAGCTGAGAGATTCTGCAAAATAAATAATATAATTATAAGTAAATTTAATATTAACTTCAAGTAAATGAGTTGTTTGAAGATATTAAAATTCAAGCTAAAGTTGAATAGTTACTATATATTTAGTATTTCTGGCTTATAATAAATAAGATCTTTTTGATATAGAATTTTTCTATTTTTATTTTACTTTATTACTATGAATATAATGACATAATTCTCAAAAAATAATCTTTTTTCCTATAATTTGATAATCTTTTTTTTAAATATTGTCATTCTTGATAATTTCTTGAATTTAGCAAATTATTACTGTATATTTTCAATATTATTAACATTCATAAAAAAATTCACTTTGAAATTATTAATTGAAAAATCTTCTTTTATAATGTATAATAAAAGTTATCAAATTTCAAAAGAAGAATAATCATAATTTGATGAAAGTATAGCTGTGATAAAATCAAATAATATTTTATTTATTGCAAATTTGCTTATTTTAACTTGATTTTGTATATTGAGTAAGTCATTCTAAGATTTGCTTACTTTAACTTAAAGTATATTGGACAAGTTATTATGAGATTTGACTTGAAATGTATTGAGCAAGTTATTATAATAACATTTCTTGACAAGAACATGATATTGAGTGACACTTTAAATATTCTTAATCTCATAAATAATACATTATTTAATATGATCTTATAAATACTTATCATTTCTCATATTTAATTTTATGCTGAAAAATGATTGGCCAATAAATACATATATATAAAATTTAGTGCAACTAATAATTCGGACTGATAATCGGACACCACATCCGACTAATGATCAACAAAACCTGGCACAGAATTCTGATGTGCTTGACTGTAGTTTTATGACGCAAGACATCTATATTCGACAATCACGTGACCAAAGATCAGAATCTACAGAAATACTACTTTTAAAATCTGACCGATAACTTTATTATGAAGAACAAAGGTAGCAGTTAGATTTAAAACTAATATTCGTATAAAGTTCTAGGGATTTAAAGACTCCAATATTTTGTCGAGTATAAAAGTTCCCACCATATAACTTGCATTTTAAATGAATAAGCTCAATATTCTCCTCACCGAATTAATATTGAGAAATAAGAAATAGCAATCAAAAAACAGTAGTATTAATAACTTATAAGCTTTATTATTCAAAAAATAGATATACAGAGTTCTTTAAAGTAGCCTCCATGGTTTTTGAGAGCGGTTTTTTGTATAACAATAATACATGTACCCCGGTATTTTAAATAATATGAATACGTATACATGTAAATGGAAAATAAATTGTGTAACCCTTGATATAGTATCCATCCTGATTCGAGGAAATTGTATTGTACCTCAGCACAATTTTAAAAATCCTAAGGTGACGATTCATTGTACATGTATTGCCAGTGATGAACAGTGTTTTAACAACCATCATATCAGAGAATGTAACGAAATTGCAAGACAGAGTTTTTTTGAATAGATCCCTTCCGATAGATTTAACCATATTGAATGACTTGTAAATGATATTTGAAATCTAGTTGGATGGACCAATAGATATTATTCCAAGTAGATATATGAAGAAAATGAATTTAAACGAGAATTGAAATCATTACAAATTCAAAGCAAATCGCTTTCTTTCTAAATTGACACAAATTAAAGATCAGACCAAAGAAATATTTGAGAGAATTCAAAGAGGGATTTGCGCGTGGCGAAATATAATCTATTTTTTTCGTAAAGTCAAAGGCACTGAATGGTTATGTAGCTGGTAAACGTATCCAAATTGAATTTCAAATTCAAATAATGCAAAATAACATTTTTATTTCTAGATATAAATTTAGTGTACATGTATGTTCCAATGCAGAGAAACAATTGTTTGCTTTATACATGTATACGGTAATAAAGTTTCGATCAAATTAATACATGACAACATACACTTTTCTTTCCACAACACAATAACAATACATGTAATAATAAATGTACAACTTAATGTTAACTGGTCCTACCATGTGCAAACAAGTTTTTTGATTACGACCGCAGTCAAAATTCGATATTTGGGAACACAAATATGCAAATATCGTCATTGTTATACATTTAAACTGCTCACAACATGTTGTGTTGTAGGCGTACATACATTCTTAGATGTCCATTTCAGGATAAAAGTCATGTGAAATTAGTCTTATCTTTATTTTATGGCAACCTGGTAATTCTGCCTTTATTCAACCTCTTTTTTAACCACTTGCGAGAAAATTAATTTAGTTTCCAGAACAGTTTTTTTTTGCTAACTTAATAGAGAGAAAACCGGCCTTGATCTTTTTTAATTTCTCCTCAAATAGATCAAAATTAAAAAATAAAAAATTATCTAACATTTTCTTAATCAAGTTTTGCATACACCAAAAGTGTTTTTGGTCGATCATTATTTCTAATGCTAATTATTGAAAAATCTGAAAAAGGTCAAAAGTGCTTAGCCACTGTAATTTTACAGGTGCCTCTGAAACCACCTGTAAAAACTACCTGCAAAAATTACAGGTTTACAGATTAAATTTCTCATAGGGCAGAATCAATCACCGTTACAATAACGATAATTGTGGTTGAACAAAATTTAATATAAATATCGGTTAAAGTTTACTGAATTCAAAATATAAATACATGTACGTGTCTACTGAATTCAAAAATACATGTACATGTATGAATATGTATCTGTAAGAGGAGAAAGGTTTTACTATTGTTCCAATTTTAGAATTTTAGAAAAGATCAACGGCAACGCGCATATATATATTTTTTTTGTGTTGAGAATAAAAATGTTGTTGTTTTCAACATTCGCAATATTCTTATCATGCGTCGCTGTTGTCTCAGCACACACAACAATAGTTTATCCACTTCCACGAGGACACCCGCTAAATCCTAACGCTGCTGTAAAAGACTACACCTGCATTACTGCACCATTAACACCATCTGGGAACTGTAGTACAGGGAAGCCCTTCCCATGTGGTGGTTATCCAAAGGACACCAATATCACCCAAGTTTTTTATGCTGGTGACATTATTAGTGTGAAATTCTGGACTTCGTCGGTTCCCAATGGTCCACAACCGGGTTCCGAAAGCACTGATCAAGCAAGACATAATGGTGGACTATGTGAATTCTCTTTATCCTATGATGGGGGTAAAACTTACACAGTCATCGCTACTTATCATCAAACATGCCCAGATATCTTCTTTGATTGGAAAGTAAAAATTCCAGATGCTGCTCCATCATGCGATAATCCTGGAAACTGTATTTTCTCTTGGTCATGGATAAATGCTAATGGAAATCGTGAATTCTATCAAAATTGTGCTGATATTAAACTCATTGGCAATTCAACAAGACCATTACCAATTATTGATATTACTCGAGCAAATTTACCTCCACTATTCACTAATAATGTAACTCCACCGGGTGATCCAGCTAATACTGGCAATTTTAAAGGATCCGGTCCTTCTTCTTACGATATTTCCGCTAATTTGGCTCTTAATATTGGTGGAATTGACCCTGATTTGCTTTCACGCGATGGGAGCAATGCAGTTTTAATTGGGAAAAAAATTTATTACATCGGTGGTAGAACAAACTCTCAAAAAGTCAAAACATATCTATTGGATTTATCATCAGACTTTATGGTAACTAATCCAAATTTCACTCAAGTTTTTGGACTTGAAAATATGGCATCACCTGCCTGGACTGCTGCTTGCCTAGAAAAAGAAGATAATTCTATTTATATATTTGGTGGAAGGGATGCATCACAATCGGTAATTTTGAATTATTTTTGTTCAGTCAACAGTAACATATTTAATAATCGTTTCTTTATATTCAAAGGCTTTACCCAAACTAAACACAATGTACAAAATAAAACCATCTAATGACACTTTTTTGGATTGGACAGCAGCATCTTCACAAAATCAAGGAAATACATGGCCAAGTGCACGTGATGGAATAATGCCAGTTATCAATAATCAATCGAGAATTTTCGTATGGGGTGGGCTTAATGAAGGGCAAGATAATAAAACAATGTATGTATTTGCATCGAACAATTGGATAAGTTATATTTTTGATAACGCACCGAATCCAAGAGCATCTTATTCGGCCACATTATTAGATGATGGTCGAATCATTTATATTGGCGGAATTAGTAGAAATCCATATCCAGATGTTAATTTTCTTGAGGTAATGTGGTATATTTAAAAGAACTTCCGTTAGGAATTTATTCTAATTTACTCTCAATTATTTAGTTATTGATATTTGATACGACAAAACTTGAATGGAATATACAAGTAAATTACCTTTTTATTGCTATATCAGTTATTATTATACATGTATTCAAAATTTGTTTATTTAGCTATCCAAAAGTGATGAGCAATTAAGAAATCGAGCTTTCCATTCAGCGTTACTTCGTAATGAATTTCAAATTTTATCTTTAAAAAGCAACAATAGAACAACAATGACTAATTATACTTTTTCTTTTGAAATAAAGATTCGGATTCTATTTCTATTATTATGTACGGAGGGCTTTACGAGCCTATAGAAGACGAAATTCCCAGTGATGATTCGGTGTGGATATTGAATACTAACTCTTGGACGTGGTCCCAGCAATCAATTCCTAGCTTACCTTATATGAATGTGACAAGAAATCATACTGCTGTTATGTATAATGGATATATGATTATAGCTTTCGGTAAACTTGATTTTTTATTTTCTTTGATTCTTCATATCGGCCTCCTTTTACATTCTTAATTTTTTTGCTTGTAGGAGTTTATGGAAATAATTCTTATACACCTGAAGTAAAAGTTATGGATGTGTCAAATTTAAGCTCATTGTCTTGGGTTCCTGTTTACAAAGCAAGAACATCTGATTCAAGTTCAACTCCTACAAACGATGAAGGCGACAAGAAAATTAAGTTTATTATTATTGGATGTTCAATCGGTGGTGGATTTGTTATTGTTGCGCTTGTGATATTTTTTATCGTTATGCGTAAACATAAATCTGATTCTTCCGCAACACAAAATGGAAGAATCTCGAAATATTCTGAACATTCGAACAATGAACCAGTTCCTGCTGATATTAATTCAACAGGATTTCCAACCCAAATTCAAAATCCAAGACATTCGAACAATGAACCGGTTTCTGATGATATTTCAATAGGATTACCAACAGGATTTCCAACACAAATTCAGAATCCTGATATTTCAACGGGATTTTCAACCCAAGTTCAGCCACCTCCTATTCTGCGATATGATCCATTATACCAACAATATGTGCCAATGTATCCATCATCGTATCAACATAACCCAAATTCATTATACCCATCACATCAATATAATCCGAATTTAATATATCAATTTAATCCGAATAATCAAAATTAAGCCAATACACAACGATAAACTGTGTTCCCTAATCATAATACATATTAATATACATCGATCTTAAATACCATAACATTATTATATATGTTCATCTATTTTCAATTAATGATAATTTCTAATAAAAAAAGATAGATTAGTTCTTATTCATTTTTCATATGTGAATTTGTATATATAAGCTTTTTTTACTAAAATAAAATTCAAAAGTTATTTCTTAAATAAAACTTTTTTGAGGTTTCAATTGAATCAAAATAAACTCACACTTTATTCATTTCAAAATATGCAAGCAATAACACTTTTATAATAAATCTAGAATATAAATTAATTCAAGCTAATGCTCAAATCTGATAATTTATATCTATTTTAGAATTTTAATTAATGTGAGCAAAAATTTATATATATATATAGTATATTATATATAATTAAACAGAATATTAATATGGTTATAGCAATTATAGATATAACTATTAAGAATGTTGACTTCAACTCCAAAATGTTTAATATTATGATATTGCATTATGACAAATTATTAAAATTCTAAATAAATATAACTTAAATCTAAATAGTTTAATATATATTTAAATTCTAAATATATATCTAAATTCTAAATATCGTAATATATATCTAAATTTTTTATATAAATATCTAAAATCATGTGATAAGTTAATTCATATTAATTCATATATATGTATAACATATAAAAATAAAGAGTTTGATAATTATAAAGATTTATCTTCCTTTACAGGAGCTTTTTTTCTAATATTGAAGACTTAATAATTATCAATAATAATAAAAAAAGAGCAGAACAAAAATTATATGAAATTAAAAGTTATTTTATTCAAGAAATTGAAAATTCAAATGCATCTGATCATTATAGTACAAAGTATTATTATAATTTAAAATAATATAAAATTTATTAAACTAATAATATATTTAGATATAATAAATAAATATTCTGAAGTTATTTTCAAAGATATTTATTATTATTAGCAAACAAAACTTATTATGATAATTATTAATAATTCAAGAAAAAATATAATAAAAAAAGATGAAAAATTTTTTAATTACATACTTCAATTAAAGAATATTATTTATCTGATTTATCACTTTCTTTTTATAAATAAAATCTATTAAATTAATTAATATTAAAGACTTGACTTTCTTGTAATATTTTTTTTAAAATTATTAATAATCTATTCATACAAGATTTGCTTAAATAACTTAATTTTTATTATACTTTCTCTGACAAAACTTATTATTAAATCAAATTTTGAATGAAATATTTGTTAAAATTGATATAAAAGTAAATAATAAACTTTCTAAATACAAAAAAATTTAATCTTGAATAAGCAGAATTTCAATAATAATTAATATTATTTTTATAAAAATTACTTATAAGCCAGTAATAATTAATATCATATTAACTACTTATATTATAATTTTAGATAAATATTCATCTTTATTTATTATATAATTTTTTAATTATTATAATTAATTATCAAGAATTTTTAATTATAATTAAGAATTTTTTTAAATATTACAAATTAGAAAATTTATTATGTACTAGATTATTAATATTATTATAAAAATTAAATTAAAAAAGTTTACTATTATATAACTATTAATTATTATATAATAAAAATAATAATAAATTATTAATATAAATATATTTTTAATATTTAATATGTAATTTATATAATTAATTTTATTATTTTTAATATTAGTACTATATCAAAAATCTATTTATTTATTTTAAATTATAATATATGTAACAATTTTAATTAGATTATCTTTCTTTAGATTCCTTTTAGTTTAGATCTTCATTTTGTGCTATCTATATAACAAATTAGCTTTGTATTACATTTCTAAGAAGATTAATTTCACTCTAGATATACAGATAATCATTATGTATTAAATATATCTAGATTTAGCACATTATTACTCAGATGATTATCATGTATATTATAATTACAAATTAAGATTATTAATATTTTTCTTTTAATAATTCTTTATTTTCTTACTTATTTTCTTTTATTATTATTTATATCATTATTTATTATTATTTATAATTATTATTAATTATTGAATTATAATTAGTTACCCTTTAGAGATATGAATTAAGTTAATTAATTCTGTTCAACCATATATATTTTAAAATAAATTTTATTATTAATTTATTTACTTTTTGTATTTATTTCTTTTGCTATAAATAAGATCTCTCTGTTCTGTAATTTTCTTTTAGATCTGAATACTTTTAAATAATAAAAATAATCATAAGTTATAAAATTAAAACTTATTTATAT